TGCTTTCCTGACTATATAATTTTAAAAGTGACAGATTTCTCTTAAAATCTTAAGATTATGATCCTTAAACTGGCAAATGTTTTAATAATTTCATTCGCTTCTGTTAGGTCTGATATTTGGGATTAAAACTTTTAGAAGTTTCCAACTGAGGAGAATATAAACCATTTAACCTTGTTTCCAGAATGTATCCCTTTCCATATCAAAAATGGTCGATTTTTGTATGTGTTTTATAAGCAGATCAATTACTCGGTGTGTTAAAACCAGAAAAGGACCTATAAATAGCACCCAAGACACTGACAGTCAACTGCAAAACTCTTCAGTAATGAATGTAAACATTTGCAGTGAAAATGTTGATCTTTGTCACTGGTAGCTTTTTTTCACTCCTCATAACAAGTGACACTTTTACTTTCATAATTCCTAACTTCAAGAAGATAATTACTTTATGCTTCTGTTAGTGCTAACTCCCTTATTTTAAAATAATCACAATGACAATTCCTTGGAAAAGATGATGGGTGAGGATGTGTTCACCTTACAAGGCATTTACTGCAGTTGAGAAGAGAGAAGTCAGAATATTCCCCTGAAGATGGCATACACATTTTCATTAATATCCTCCCTCCTTTTTTTTTTTTTTAATTCCATGGGAAAGTAAGGAAATTCCAGTTTTATTTCCATGAAACAAAAGAAAGTTAAAAAAAAAAAAATCTCTGCAATCTCTGCTCTGTAAAGGTGAGAGTTGAAACACATGGAATCATTTACTCAAATTGTCTTTCACATTCTCAGAAAACCCTCAAACCCTAAATTAAATCTTCCCCTAGAGACCAGTGCACTGCAGGACAGCTCTGTCTCGCAAGGAAAGAGCTAGGACAATAAGTATTCAGGGCTGCTTTCCTATAAATGTCATGATGACGGTTGGCTCAATTGTTCTTGTCCTTTTGCAATGCATGCGATTTTGTGGCAGTAGGTTACATTTCCAGACGGGCAATGCTTCAGCAATTACATGGAATCAGTACATTCTCACACGACGAGCATCACTATACTGCTCACACATGGACGAACAAAGGTAAGACTCAAAAACACTGCCTTCATTTTTATCCTGGCATGTGAGTTGAAGTGTCCTGTGTGTTTCTGTCAGTGAGGTGGGTAGCAAGTTAGAGGTTTTGCAGTTGCTTTTAAATCAGAAGCCTTCTGTTTGTATGCTGCTGCTCCTAGCTGGAATTTAACAATCAGTTCAGTGGTATGAAGGAAGTTGGTTCCTTATTTTCCATCTGCATCTCACTAACCCAAACCATGTATAGGACAGGGCTGAATGAAAACACTTTGAAGAAATCAGGACTGCTGTTAGGAGAGTAGTGGTGTTTATATTGTGTGGTCCTAACCCTTGAAATGCGGCTTTTTGAAATGCACTGACTGCAGATAATGAGGCTTTTGCTCAGAGCTACTGATAGTCTAACAGCCTGAAGAGCAGCATCTCCCACACGATCATCACTGGTTAGCTCTCAGGGGATACTGGACCCCTCCGATGGTGCTCTCAGCTCCACTGCTGCTAGCTGCAGGAACAGCCTGGAAACCTGTTTGGAAAAAAAGAAGAGCCAAGTAACCCAGGTGTGCAAGAAGAAGAGGAGGAAAAAGGACATGGTTGTCTGAGAGAGACTGCTGGGTGGGAGCTGAGGGGTTTCAGATCCTGGGAGCTGGGTATGTGCCTCTCGGAGAAAAGCAAATACTGGACTCCATCAAAGCAGGAGGCAATTTAGAGTCAGGAGTGTCATGTAGCAGGGTGTTCTGCAGAAAAAAAGAGAACGGAGGAGCAGAAAAGTATCTGCCTTTCACATATGAACATCCTGTCCCCTTACTGAAGCAGGGAGTCCAAATAAACGTTGTTCGATGTAGGTTACAGGGAGTGGAAGTTGTCCTGGTTCAGAATCATGCAGAAAGATCTTGTACTTGATATTCTTGCTAGACCCATCACACAGTGCAAGAAAAGGAAAATATAAGAGAAAACCCAGAATATGGCAGTTGGGTTAAGGATTATTTTAGATTGACAGTGTTCATATAGGACAACTTTGAGAAGATAGGACATAATTTTAAAACATAGCAATCCTGCTAGAAAAGGATATTGCAAGTTTTTAAAATTTCACAAAGAAAGTGCTTTTATGTTTCTCTAGGATACAATGGAGTGGTTTCTAAATAGAGAATTTGGGGTATGATCTCTTTGAGAGAAGTGTCCCAGGGAATAGGCCTAAGCTAAATTTTATCCCAAAATCTAGGAAGAGGAGAGATTGCTTTAGAGCTAGCTAATAAAGTCACATAGTGATTGCAACCTTTCATAGGTTTTGGTTTGCTGTTCAGATATGTTTAATGACATCAAATTTTGACATGTGTCGTGCTGGTCTTTAGAATTTCAGTTTGAGTGGTGTATTGAATAGAAAATGGCACAAAATGTTCCCAAAAGTGCCCTAAAGATTATATCTGTTAGTGTCAGTTCTGTGAGGATGTATTAGTTAACTGTACTGCACAGGAGTGAGGAACATTTCTTGTTAATTTAGGGAGGGAGAAAGCTTGATGACACATGCAAATGGCACATCATATATTTTAAGTTCTGTGTATGTCGCCTACACTAACTACATTTGTCCTCTCAACATCTTTCTCAGTTTGAGCACCACCGTATTTGAATTTTATGTGACTGTGATATTAATATACCTGGTTAAAGAGAAAATGAACTACATAATAAAATATTTCAAAAGTTAGATACCTTTTGGGGGGGAATATATATATATCTTTATCTCTAACAGGGAGTGTACTGATAGGATGAGGGGTAACGGTTTTAAGCTGAAAATGAGTAGGTTTAGATTAGATGTCTGGAAGAAATTTTTCACTGTGAGGGGGGTGAGGCACTGGAACAGGTTGCCCAGGGAAGCTGTGGATGCCCCATCCCTGGAGGTGTTCAAGGCCAGGCTGGATGAGGCTTTGAGCAACCTGGGCTAGTGGGAGGTGTCCCTGCCCATGGCAGGGGGGTGGAACTAGGTGATCTTTAAGGTCCCTTCCAACCCAAACCATTCTGTGATTCTGTATATGGAGCCCTGATGATCTCTGCCCTGAAATTGCTGTCTTCCCCTTCTTTACTCGACAGCTGTCAGTGTGCTTAGGAAGGAGCTGGCCCAACCAGTGCACTGCAGAAGTACAAAGTACTTGGGGTTATGGGAGACACGAATTAGAAGCTGTGTTTGCGTATGAATAAAGAATCCTGGGTTTATGCAGATACATTTAGCAGCGCTGAGCCAGAACTAGAGAGATACAACAGTGCCTACATGAAGAAGGTGAAACGGGGTGAGGGAAAGGCAGTGCTTGGAAGTCAAGTAGGCATAAGTTTCTTTTCCGTGAGAGTGGGACTAAAGTGGCAGGGATGGCTATCCTGTGAAGCTCTTGTTTTACAAGTTACAGATACCCTCGGAGAACAGAAGCTGGGCCAAGTGTGAAAGAGCAGCATGAGAATCGACCCCCATCTCTGTGTGCCAGCTTGTAAGGTAGCATATGGAGTAATGCTTGGTGTGATTCCAGTAGTGCTTTGCTGTGGTTTTCTTCAGTCTTTCCCAGGTAGTTCTTGTGAAGAGGAGAATTTCGGCAGTTTATGCTGAGTCATCTGGGTAGGGGAATACAGTGCTGCAACACATTATCTGAGGAAGAGATTTACCAGCAGAACTGCTGCTTCTGGTGGAGAACCACATGTACAATATGAGGCTTAGCCCAGTTTTAAGTTGGAGTACGTGAGAAGGTCCTTTTCTCTTCAACCATTTTGTTCTTCGACGATATCAGAAACTATTCCTCTTTTTAGGTATGTCTGCTGGCTCGGAAGGGAAAGCTGTAAGGATTTCCTACCAGACACAGATCTACTTCATAATGATAGGTTCAGAAGTGAGCTTTTTATCTCAGGTCCAATAGCTTCAACTACTTATCCATCTTCCAGAACCTCCTGGTCCTCTAGTTATTGTTGGAGAAGAGCATGTGAGGTTTCCAAAGATCTAGCCCTATTTTTTGACTGCAGGCTGGTAGACAGCAGTGCTGGCACAAATTGTTTTGCAAAGACTATGCCAGCAGCCAGCCTTACTCTCTTCTTGCCTCTGGCTCCTCTACTCTTCAGTAACTTTTTAGCCTCAATGTGCTTTGTAGCTTTCAATGCATTGCCACCAATAGTTCCTGCTAATGCCAGGAGCTCCTGAGCATGGCTTGGTGCTTCCTGCCTGGCACTAGGCAAAGCAAAGCAGAGATCCTTAGCCGTACAGCAGTATTTGCAGGAGAGGACAATACGGCTCTGTCTCCAGCTGGCTCTCACTGTTGCCTGCTGAAGCTGAGTCAGAAACACGAACCAGGCAGTGCTGGCTCCCTACGCAGTTGTTGCCAAGGGTGCAGAGCAGGTTTCTCCCTTCACTCCCTGGGAAGCCAGAGTTGGTTTGTACCCTGGGGTGTTTTGGATGCTGGGATCAGTTTAGCAATGGGTATCTTTTCCCCAGAGAGCAGTTATTAATAGCTTGACAGTGAACGATGGCTGTGAATGCAGTGCTAGAACGTCCTAGCAATGGAAACAGGAGCAAAGCAAAGGACACATGCTCTGAAGTTGGTAATGGCATCTCCCTTCATGTCCTGCAGCAATGAGATACATGGATTAACTTTAAATGCATTGGTAACATATGGGTCTAAAATTATTTCATGCTATTTAGAACAAGTCCTTTGAGCTATGGCTGTTGTAAATTCTAATTAGTCTATGCTAATCTCCATAATAAGCAGCTATTTCTAATGCAGATCTAACTGATGAGGTCTGACAGCATTTTCCACGCTTATTTATACACTGGCAGCAAGCTAGTATCGTGCTAGTATCAAAATGTTTGCTCAGGTTAAGAAAACTCTCTTTTTTCTGTACTCTACAGGGAGTTTCCTGTATTTGCTTCAGGCTTGTGCCTGGTCTAGGATTGCCAACTTATGCCTGTTTGCTTGTATTTGTTATGCAGAAAATAGGGAAAACTCTTTCAGCCGTTCCCGAAGCTCCAGCGTGTCCAGTATCGACAGGGACTCAAAGGAGGCAATTACTGCTTTGTACTTCATGGAGTCTTTTGCCCGAAAGAACGACTCCGCTGTCTCCCCCTGTCTCTGGGTCGGAACAGGCCTCGGTATGGTCTTAATCCTCTCCCTTAACCTGCCTGGTAGTGACGATTTAAGGCAGTCGGAGCCAGTCATGGTGTCACCAAGCGGTAAGAGTGCAGCTCTTTTCCTGTTTATTGTCTGTCTTGGTACAACAGGGGGAATAACTGCATGGTTTTGTATGGCCTTCTGGGGAGAAATTTCTCAATACATGTACTAAGCAATGGTCACTCACTAGATAGAGGGCACACAGGTAAATAAAGATGCCCATGTGAGACCCCACTTTGGTTGTTCTTTCTGAAGATTACCTTGTGTCATGGGCAAAGCTACACATTTCTTGTGAGCATAGGAAGATTAGCAGAATTCCTTCTTATTGTAAAATTACAGTCGCTTGTACAGCTCTGATATAATCCTATCTGGAATGCTGTGAACAGTTTGGCTATCTTACTATAAGAAAGCTGCAGAGAAGCAGAAGGGAGTTCAGGAAAGAAAACAAAAATGTTGGCAGTTGGATGTACCAGGAGAGATCCATCGCTGAGTGAGTGACAGATGGTGTAGCAGAGAGAACACAGAGGGCTGAGAGAGGTCAGGTCTGAGGAGAGGCAGTATGTGCTCAGTATGTTTCAAGTAAAATAATGACAAAATTCAGAGGATGCACTGGACCAGAGGTTTCCCGTCCCTGGTTTGTTTAGAAAAACAATGCTGGAAGGTCACCAGACTGAGGAGGGCAGTTTTACTGCTGGGGAATAAATATCCTGCTAGTATAATGTAGAGATAAACAGCCTATCTTTATGGTATTCAATAGCATGGATTATATAGATTATTTGATATAGGCTGCCTGAGACCTTTTCAGTACTGGCAGCCTGTTTGTTCACCTGATTGTGTGATCAGGAAGAACTGAGCAAGGCAGACTTGTCACCTTAGCTAGACTAACGTGGTTGCTCTATTTGCAAAAGTGAAACCCGAACGTCAGCTGTGCTGCGTGCATTCACGGTACTGACAACCAGTTTAATTGTGGTGCCAGTGCTAGTGAGAGGGAATTATATTTTGCAGGCACAGTTCTGACACTGAAAGGAGCCGTGCTGACCTTCGCATGCTTGGACTGCGTGGGCATGTTGACACATCCACCGTATGAAGTATGGAGGGACCCACACAGTGCTGATGATGGTGAAAAAACAAGGAAAAGGAAACTTGTCATGCATTCCCCTTCCTCCTCCCAGGATATGGGTGATCATCAATTTGCAGTCATTTGTTCAGAAAAACAAGCCAAAGTCTTCTCATTGCCTTCCCAAACATGTCTTTATGTCCACAACATCACCGAAACGTCCTTTTTATTGCGAGCAGATGTGGTCACCCTCTGTAACAGCGTCTGTCTGGCGTGCTTTTGTGCCAATGGGCACATCATGACACTGAGGTACTTATCTAACTCATCTTGTGTCAAAACTAAACAAAGAGGTGGCACAGTGCCATCACAGTCCACTTGTGTTTGCTTCAGAGTGGCTGATGCTCTGCATTAACTCCCTGGTGGGTGTGTTTAATGCCCTGCCTTGCCTGTTGCCATGCCTGTTCCTTGGCCTGTCTCCACAAGGGGAGTCAGGGCAGCCACCCAGCAAAGCAAACTCCTTTATTTCCTAGTAATCCCCCACCCTCGACAATTGATGGTTCTTGATTTTTAACTCTCATAAAAGAAAACCCTGATAATTTTGCTCGGTTATGGTATATCAGGTAGAAAGGAGTATAGAAAAACTCAGACCTGGGAAGGGTACTGTTTATCCAGTGTGAAGGAGCAAGTCCCACTCTTGCTGGTTTGGAAGACTTTCCACTCAGAGCACCTGGTTTCCCTTCCTTGCCGCCTCCACCACCGAGCTGTCTGTGCAGCAGCCTGGCAGGTGAGCCATCACCTTGCCAAGCCCCCTTTCCCCAGCCAGGCCATTTAAATTTTGGAAAGTGCTGTCCAAACTGGTGAACCAGGAGAAGCTGGAGGACAGGAAAGGCAATGCTGGAGCCTTTGTCTGCAGGGTGCCATGCCTTTTCCCACCTCTGCTCACGCAGTAACTGGGGGCAGGACTTACCCTGCAAACTGTCAAGCCATGTGGCACAAGCTATGCTGTGTCACAAGCACATCCCAAATCCAGACCGTAGCTGAAGCCTAAGGGTCATTGTGGCAAGCAGCTGAAACTTTTCCGTGCAGGGAAACAAAGGGTTTGGGGAAGGGAGCGTATTTGTGGCAGAATTTTTCAGCTTAGAGCTGCACTTTTTAACAATTCTGGTTATGAAAAGCATAAACTTAAATGTTGGTTTAAAATGCAGCCACAGAGCAGGTGTACCATGTTCCTCTCTGCAGCTTGCCCAGCCTTCGCCCACTGCTGGACATCAACTATTTGCCTGTAACAGACATGAGGATAGCGCGGACCTTTTGTTTCACTAACGAAGGGCAAGCTTTGTATCTCAGCTCTCCCACAGAGATCCAGCGGGTTACCTACAGCCAGGAGATGTGTGATAATCTGCAGGTAGGGCTCAAACTTTTCCTTTGGTGCCTTTGTGTTTGTGGGGAGGGGCCAGTGGCCTGACTTGTCAGATGTAAATTGCCATGTGTTTACTCCCAGGTTGCTCAAAAGAACATGTCATTCCAGTCTATGGTTTCTATTCAAACAGAAATGGTTCTAAATGGTTAAATAAGTGATACTGGCATTACCAGAGATGATAAGTTCTTGAAAAATAGCAAGCATGGGGCAGGGAAAAAATGCCCAGTATTTTCGTATTTATTAATTTTTAGCATTTGAAGTGAAGGCTGTGCTGCTGGAGCAGGACAAACTTGCTCCTCTCCACTTGCCCTGGCTGAACGATGCCAAAGCAGCAGAGAGAGGTTGGCATTACGAGAGATTATAAGTTCTTGCAAAATAGCAAGCATGGGGCAGGGAAAAAACCCCAGTATTTTCGTATTTATTAATTTTTAGCATTTGAAGTGAAGGCTGTGCTGCTGGAGCAGGACAAACTTGCTCCTCTCCACTTGCCCTGGCTGAACGATGCCAAAGCAGCAGAGAGAGGTCAGCAGCTCTGTCGCTGTTTGGACTTTTTCATGACACTGCCACCTTGCTTCTGTGCCCTAAGGGCTGACCCCAGCCTACAGCCTGCCCGCGTGTAATTGCAATCTCTCCTGGCCCTGTACAGAGGCAGATTTGTGTCCAAATGCAACTCGTCACAGCCTGCTTCTCTCAAAGTCCTACCATATGAAAGACCAACTGTTAAAAATGTCTGAAGGGAAAGAAAGGGAAGCTACAAACAGCTAGCAGCTACAGCAGTTGGTACCAGCATGTGTCCAACCACACAGCAACTGCCTCAGTGAAAACATTCATTCCTTCCCATATTTTTATCATTTTTTAATTTTAACTCTGAAAATATCTTAATACCTGCAGCATTCAGTAAATAGGTGGGAGCACGAGATACAACAGTGTGGTTAGTATAAAAAAATATGCTTAATTTTAATATATTTTTTAATTATTTACCATTGGTTTTACTCCAATAATTGGTACTCCCCTTCTTCCATATGAGGAAGGCATCTCCCATTGTACATGAAAATACAGTAGCTACAGAAACAGTTTAATTAAAATAATTTATTTTGAACAAAAGGTCTTTACAATGTTAGATTTTGGTTGGGCTTTTTTTACAATGAAAATGCAAATTAAAATGTCATTTACTGAAGAGGAGGAATTGTGAGAGGATACAGGGAGAAATATGAGTAATAAAAGGGGAAAAAAATGATAGGGAATAGGTTCCAGGTTATATAATTAGCAGTGAACTAGGATAGAAATATAAAAGAAATGGTCCTGCCAGCACTCATTACGCCCTAGGGAATAACATGTGCTGAGCTGCTCAGCTCACATCACAGCACTGTCTGTCTCAAGCCTGAAAAAGCACTGTGAGGAGTGAGCATTGCACACAAGCTTTTGCACATCAGAGTAGGGATTCTTTTGCAGGGAACTAATTTAAAAATGATCAAAAGGTTTGATCGGTGTATCTTAGAAGACGGACCTATATTGAGAGGCTGATAGAAGCTAGATTTTTTTTTTTGGTTTATTAACCTTAATAGCATCATACAACAACAAACCAAAGGGAAACACAGCCCTTGCTTCTCTGTACTGCCAGACTGTGGCTGCTTCTACCTTGGCTTGTACGCAAAGAGAACAGTAAAAGGCTTGCACAGTCACTATATGCGTATAAAAGGCAAATGACCCAGTATCACCTAGGAAAACAAGGCAGCCTGCATGAGAGCCTCCACTTAGGCTCAAAGGGCTGCAGTAATTTTTCTCCCCAGAGCAGGTGACACTGCAGAGGAGCAGCAAGTGTGAGTCACAGCACTGTCCTAGCACTCAGCCAGACCGCTGTGTGCAGCACAACATCTCTATCTGCCTGTTGAGGCTTCATGAGCAAACACCCAGCTGAGCAACAGGGCAGCAAGTGTCCTTTTTGCACAGCCTCGCTGGTTTCAAACACTAGTGGGACTGCATGCTTGCTTGATTTTATCAGTTTTATTCCAGAGAGCTCACTTCTAGTATTGTGGCAAGTAAACGGGAGCCTGAGATTTGTTTGGGTCAACTGCTCCATGATCTGGCATCAGGACAGTGCCTTCAAGACATGCTTATTTAGCATTACTGACGGCACTGTCCAAATGCACCATAAGGGGGGGGGGGGTATAGAAGGGGATGGGATTTTAGGTTAAAAACAAACAAACAAACAAACAAATCACCAAAAAACCCTGAATACCCTGGGGAAAAAGAGGACCGCTAGCAAGTACTGAACTCCAGTATGCTATAAAGAAAAAACAGAGTGCCTGCCCTGCTTGCCTGGATAATCACTAAAGTAAAACACAATTCACAACAAATCGTTTAGTCAATTAAAGCGTCACCTCTGCTGCTTACAAGCAAAATGTGATCTTATCACTGGTATTTTCACTGTGTACTGCTTATGAATCTTTTTTCCTCTGAGCAAAAGACTGGGCAGTGACAAACCAAGTCCCTCTGAAAGCGTGAGTGAATGTAGTTAGCCCAGGTATTTGCCTGTCATGAAACACAAATGTGAAGTACTCAATACTGTTCACACAGCAGACTCATAAAACTAGTTGATTACATGCAGTGTATGTGACCTGTTAATGCAAATAAGGAAAACACCTAGAACTGCTTTCACTTCACTGATTTTTCACGTGGACTTTTAGGACATGCTTGGGGATTTGTTTACTCCTGTGGAAACACCAGAAGCCCAAAACAGAGGCTTTCTCAAAGGACTTTTTGGAGGAAGTGGACAAGCTTTTGACAGAGAAGAGCTTTGTAAGTAATTGAGTTTTGGTTTTTTGGGTTTGGGTGTGGTTTGTTTTTTTTTTTGCAGAAATTAATTCATGGGATCCCCGGTCCTTGTCATCTAGGAATGGCGTGGCACACAAGATGTAGATAATTGATGTCAAAATAAAGATGATGTTGTGAAGAAAGGGGAGGGTCCTCTGTTGGTTTCTCATGATTCCTTCACCTTGGCAGCTTCTTTTGAGCAACTGTGGTAGGGGGTCCACAACTGCACTGTAGACGTGCCAGTGCACAGAGCAAAGCCTTCCACACATGCCATCTGCACATCAAATAGCATCATTACTGTGAGGCTGCAGCTTGAAGAGGAGAAGCACTGACAGAGCCATGGCCAGGAACTCATTCCTGTCTGTTTGGCCATTTCTCCTTTGCAGTTGGTGAGGCCACAGCAGGAAAAGCCTCTCGCAGCCTTGCCCAGCACATCCCTGGATCAGGTGGAATCGAAGGCGTGAGAGGAGCCGCAGGAGGAGTCATTGGGGACTTGACTCGTGCACGCATTGCCCTTGATGAGAGAGGACAGAAACTGGGAGAACTGGATGAAAGGACTGCGAGCATGATGGCCAGCGCAGAGGCATTTTCCAAACATGCACACGAGGTAGGGGCCCTGGAACCACCCAGCTAGAACTAGAAACTGCCAGCTCTGCAACTGAGCCTTTGCTTCCCTTTGGGAAAGTCAAGCACAGTTCTCCCCGTTCACCCAGCCACGCTGGTTTAGGTGTACTCATGTTAACTGACATGCCCTTTTTCCTGCTCCCAAACAATGAGACTGCCAAAAAATAAGCTTCCATTGCTTTCCCCTTCCTTTCATGTTTCCATAAATGAGCATCCATGGTTATCCTCTGAATATAGAACATGGCATTTCTCATTGCTCACCTTTCTCACTAATTCATTATGATTTTTTTTAAAGCCACTTAGTGCAGCACAGAAAACAGGTAGGTGGATGTGTATATAGGAACCTTTACAGATCTTATTGGGAAAAAAGAGGAGAACATTTCTAGTACAACACTGTGGTACTGTTCTATAGAACAGGGCTTGCCTGGGACAGACAGCTTCTGTGCTCAGAGCTGGAAATGGAAAGCTCTTCCATCCCACGCTGTTAAGGCTGGGAATCAACTAAAGTGATTTTTTTCTTTGAAGATAAAACAACATCAAAGAGTACTTCCCAAAATGCATGTTTTTCAGTTAACATGCATCACATCTCTGGCAAGACCTTTACCTTTTTATTGGCTTTTGTAAGTGCAAGGTAAAAAATACTCAGAAAGAACATGCCCTGGAATGCAAGAAGTTTATATATTCAGGACATATCTACTATGCTCCACAGACAAGCTCCTTTCTATAGGAGTAAAAAGCAAGTTCCTGGTTATTCCCGTACCTCTGTACTTTTTGCAGAAGAAAAGTAGTTAAAGCTCCTCAGGAAAAATCTTTTAATGAACAGCAATAGTAGGCAACTCTTTGTTTTATTTTTTGTTTTAAATGTAGCCATTATGAAATTAAAGACACGGTCTCAGTGCAATCAAGACCTGATGACAGTGTTTGTTAGTGACGAGCATTGCTCTTCCATTTTTACTTACAAAGTTTGTGACAGCTAATGGGCCTATGGCATGTGTGATACCTCATATGCAGAGCAGTGTTTTATATCAGTTTGTTTCCCATTTCTGTAGGTGATGCTGAAATACAAGGACAAAAAGTGGTACCAGTTTTAGACTTTGAAAGCAGCAGCTTGTGGCTTTATTAAGAACACTCTTCAGGGAAGCAACATTCATTCCCAAATCTACCAGTCACTGGCCAGAGACAGTTTTTTCTCCTAGAAGACTTTTTCCTGTTACTATTATTGGATTCATCACAGTAGGAGTCAAGAAGAAATTTTACAGACCGTGAGACAGAAGCTAGAATCATATGGGTCTTACTCCAACAGCTGGCTCATGCAGTAGCCAATTTTTCCAAAAGGAACTCAACCATCACTGTGGCATGTAGTTTTTTCAGAAGCTGGAGGTATGAACTGTGGGGAGTGTGTTTGGTTAAAAATATTCTGTACAAACTCAAATGTTAATGCACTTATAAAACTTTGCATGACTAACTGACATCTTAAAAAAAAAAAAAGATAAAAAGAAAGCATGTTGTGACCGAAGAAAAATGGAATTTATTACTATTCTGAACAAAAAAAAATACTTAAATGGCAAAAATCTTTATTTTTTAAAAGTGACATTACAAAAAGCCAGTACATTTCAAGCATGTTTGCTACCATTCTCAACATAAAAATGTGTTGAGCTGCAGTTTCTTATCTACTATTTATTTCCCTTGAAAAACCTTGCTTAAAACCAGTGCTGTTTCACTCCTACCAGAAGAATAAATAACTTCAAAATTCTATGCCCAAAATTTACAGGTTTTTCAAGTAGCTAGACAGGCACTATCTGAAATATCATTAAAACATGAGCATAGATGGTTTATTTGCAATTCAGAGCACATGACTTGTCATCTTTATCTGTACTTTTAAAAATGTGCTCTAGAGTTATCTCAGTTGTCCTTGAAGTTATGGCATTTTTCATCCCTGTGGTGTCTGTATCACGTGGTTGCCTTATTTCTCAGTAGCAGGAATAGAAAACCAGCTTAGGAAATCACTTCTTCATGTTAGGAAAGGCAAGATGGGAACCCACAGGGCTACAAGTTGGAGAGCCCTGTCAAATTCTGCTCACAGAAGCTGCCTAGCAGCTTGCAGAGCAGTGATTTTTCTGAAGTGGTCAGTTGAAATTACACGAAGGAAACGGCACAGTAACCCCCTAAAGCTGGGGGAGAGCGATCACAGCAGCAAAACTAAATGATGTGCCAGGGGAGGAGCATGAAAACCAATACTCAGCACATATATAAAATGACACCATGGGTGAGTGGCAATTGATTTTCTGCTCACGCTGCTAAAAGTAATTTGCTTCTGCTTCGAAGTGGCTTGTTTGGTTTCTACAGTGAACTCTGCAGAAAACTCTCCAACCTGCACCTGCAGAAGGGAACAGTAAGTAGAACCTATTACCTGTCTACACAACTGGATTCCTAGTCCATGAGTGTGCTGCAGTCACTGTTTCCTACAAGAGCCTCACTGCCACACAGGTCAACTGTTAAGATAGAAATTTTTCCAAGATTGGCATGGAAGCAAGGCAGAGAGGGCTTGTTTTCATGTGCCTGGACATAGTTTCAAATTAGAGAAGAAAAGTGAGGAAAAGATGGAAAAGCAGCATTTAAAATTTTTCTGTACAAGAGTGACATGCTCTACCCCTTCAAGGAGTCCTGACAGACACTGATGCAGACAGGCAGCATCCCCCTCCTAACAAGATCTGAACTTCACTGGTGTTTATATCATTCCCATGTTCAGATGATCTCCCTCAAAGATGCCTTTCCCATATCCTTCATTTTCTTACAATAAAATGGAGCCCAGGAACTTGTACAGTCCAGAAGGCTGGCTTCACTGTCAGCTCAGCTGCTCAAGTTAAAAGGCTGGAACACATGTGAGGTGTTAAGTTTTAAATTCACATTGCAGCACAACAGGAATTTTTTACATTTCTCTGTGGGCAAAATGGGATGGCCCTGACAGGTCTAGCTCAACTGGGAATGAGACACAAGTTCCTCTCTTTCACAGGAGAAACTGCACTATAATTTTGAGACCTGTGGAAAGTTACTGGGAAAAAGGTCAAAGCCCAAGCAATGCCCAGGTTTCTGCTGAGAGTTACAGAACTGTAGTTGTCCATGAGCCAAGAGGATGTCTCTGTGGGTGTGTTTGAGGAAACAGCAAACTCACCACTCCGATGCAAACAGGAGCTGGGCTGGGGAACTCTTTCCAGCAGCCAGGTCACAGAACTGGCCACCTGTGTGTGTGTGAGGAAACACCACTGTCACCAGGCATCTAGAATGAGAAATAAATGAGAAAAACATTAGAGCAATGCTATCTTCTGCTTAAATGTATATTCACTCTGCCAGAACTCTGGCCGATACTCCAAAACCACTAGTCTCCAGTCAACAAAATCATTTGGGGCACCAGAGCATTTAAACCCTCCAACCAACTTTATAGACCTTATTCTTCCTGCCTGCTCTGCTTTTAGAGAACCGAAGCAGTCTTCGTTAAAACCAAGCCCAAGCCACCCCACCAGCGTTTGTTCTGTGCCCAGCTCTGTGCTTGCCTCTGCACTGAGCCGGTACAGCTGGAAGGGCCGTTACCAGTTCCAGTGTGGCACCTGCACACCCACAGGCTATGGGGCCAATCTCCACTATGAGCTGGTGGAACATCGCCATTAAGAATGGAGCCCAGGTATGTGGTAGCACCTGGTGCTCAGGTGGCAGATGGTTCATTCTGATGACAAGGAAGCTACCAGCTCTGCAGAAGTTTTCAGCTGTCCATCATGTGGGTGGCTGATATTGCAAAGGTTCCCCATTACCTTGATTTCAGTGGAAATGCCTTCAGGCTGGAGCTAGAGCCCGCTCACTCATTTAAGAGTCAAATGTATAAATTTAAGAGCAACTTTTAATTGCTAATCACTACAGCATGCCCAGAGAGAAAGCGTCTTCAGCAAGTCATTTACACAATGCCTGACTGACTTTGGCTGCCAACAGTCTCTAGCTTAACACCGGGGGGGGGAAAAAACCCTGCCAGTAGATTGTCATTTGCATTTTTATGCAACAGAGACCTGAGAATCTAGCATCCCTCAAACTTACAATTTTTAATACTAAACTTTTAAGCAACTTTCCTCTAGTGCTCCCCATCAGGTCACAGCTGTATCTTGCTTTCCACTCTTACATATTTTACATATTTCCAGATAGTTACAAGTTACTATTTCTGTTAAGTTCACTACTTGTGACTATAATTATCAATTTTCTTGTAGTCTGTAGAGATCTAAAAAGTTGTATATGTTTGTACATAGAACATTCTATATATATAAATATATATATGTAATGTATATGTTGTATAAGTTTGTTAGTGCACACTGTTAAATGCTTTCTATCAAGATTTGCCATGTATGTGGGGAAAAAAAAAAAAAAGTCACTTAAAAACTTCAATGAGGGAGGAAAAAACTCTTGCCTGGTTGATTTATTGTGAAATGAGGGGGAGTGTGGGATTTTTGAAAGGCCTGACCTGAACGCCACTAAAGGTTGTTAGTGAAAGGAATAAAGATGCAGCATTCTGAGCCAAGAGCACACCATCTGACCTGACTTGCTGTAAGGAAACTGAGGACACTTGCTGCCACTGGATGTTGAAATCATGTGCTTTCACCTTTTCCCCTAAGACAGCACCACCTCGAGCAAAATCCTAAACTTAGAGGTATCTTCAATATCGCAATACTCAGCTACAATAGACCGGAGTGGCTAGAAATATTAGTTCAATTTAAAAAGCTTTTGTTCATTTGGCTGCCCTGTTCCCTCACATTCTTCTTTACCTGAGCTCTCTCTCACCACCACATCCAAAACCAGATACACAGAACTTCCAACAGCACACACCGCCCTCTGGGTTTGAGCAAATGTGTTTACTTATGCACAGAGCTGTAGATAAGAGTATACAAAGAAAATACATATTAGAGATTATTTATATGTTCTCAAAGGTGGCAAGACTTCATTGAAGTACAAGCTATTTTATTTAAAAAAAAAAAATCCATTCCTAGAGTTTTAACTCAAGCTTCAAATCTTGAATTAAATGACACGATAAAGGAAAATTTGAGAATCAGGTTTTGTTTTGTATAATGAGCTCTTTTCTAATTTTTTTTACAGTTCTACAGTTCAACTACTTACATCAATTAGCCGTTTGCTATATTACCAGAATATAGCTTGTTACACAAATATTTAACACAACTACACATATTGTATAAGATTATGACACATAGAAATTCTCTAAAACAGTTTACACATTCCTTTTACAGAAACCCTTTCATATCACAATGTGTGCATTGTAATAAAGACATGCATACAAAAATTTTTTTTGCAGTGTATAATTTTAAGAAGTGAAGAAAACACTGCTGCTTTAATAACAGCTGAGTTCAGCCTCAGGACTCCTCCATTTATAAACTGTGTGTATTGTAACACAGGCAAAAAGTCATATTTCATCTAATTACGCCCCTTAAATACCCTGGCCCCCATACTCATTTTCCATAACCTAAAGGTGAATTCAAGCACAGTTTATTTCAGTCTTGAATGTTTTTTTGCCTTGATATGGTCTTGGTAAGAACACACTCTCTCTCATTAAGGAACTATGTGTGGCCACTTGTAGTCAACTCTTCATCTTAGCTGTATAAGCAATAGTCATGTAAATGAGTGTTTCCATTCATGTGTTTTGTTTTGTGATTAAATCAACAAATCAAACATTGTACTTTTTTAAATAGCAATCAATATTCAGATTCAGTGTCAAGGAAATGTGGACAGAGTATGTGTGGAGTCTGTTATCGAGTCATTAGCTGTATCTCAGAATGAAGGTGAACCACACACTCTTGTGCTAACCACGTCCTGTTTCCACAGGTATCCTAAATCAGCATCACAAAAGGAAAACTAAGGCATCTTTAACTGAGGCTGTTTCAAGTCCCCAGTAAGAACAAAAAAAAACAAAAAAAAAAAAAAAAGAGGGAAGGAAAATAAAGGAAAGAATTGATATTAGTTGTTGTAGATTTCTTTTTTTTCAACCTCTACTCCTAGATTCTTTATAGTATTTCAAAGGTGCATGGCTTATGTAATGCTTTGGATGGTGTTTTTACTACTCGTGAATGTGGAAAATGCAGCCACGGTTGTGGCTGGGGTGGGAATGGCCACCGCCCCTTCCTCGAGCAGCTCACACAGGGACAAAACCTGGCCCCCAGGTAATATTCCTATGCTTTACTGCAGGGAGCTCACATGGAGCTCATAGTCGCAGTACCAGTCCCCAGGAGTATAAGCCTTGTTATCCAGACTTCTCAGCCAACTGAGTACCCTTCACATCACTTCCACCTCAGGTTAAAAGCAGTCACCTACAAGCTAAAATCTCAGAAGGGCAGAAGCAAGCTCATTTAAGGGCACTTACCAATAACATGACTGAGTTGCTCTGCCAGGAGAGGCTCCAAAATGTCAGCCAAAGCTACTGAGCTTCCA